CAAATGAATAGAGGCCAAGCTCCTGGAATAAACTAAGTAGCGTAGAGCAACATCTGGCTTACTTCGACGGGATTTCCAGAGAATCGGAATGCCAACTTCAGTTTCGTCAGATTCAGATTCGCGGACGGTCTGTAGGCCGTCCCGATCATGGCTCCTCGACAACAACCCTCCCGCACTTCCTGCCCCCTGCTGAAGACTGCCTTCGAGATTGTGATTGCTGTCCATCCTGGAGAGACTTCTGGGTGCTCTGACGGTTCCTTCTTGAATGTCCCAGACCTTGAGACAAGTTGCTTCTTTGGTAAGTGACGCCAAAAGTCCTGACCGCTGAGGGTTAAATGATATCCGGACGAGTGTCGATGATTGGGGCGTACTTTTGGGTCCGGTGTAGAATGAGAGAATCTGCTGAGAAGGGTTTCTAATGTCCCAAATTTTGATAACACCGTCATCTGAGCATGATGCCATCCTGTTTTCGTGGAAAGGGTCCATGCACAGCCCATGAACAGCCTTCGTCGAGATGACCAGTGAGGATGGTGAGTTTGGATCCTCTATGAAAGAGAAAATTAAACGATTAGCAATGCGGAGCAAACTAATTGACATATTTAATAGCCTTTTGTTAACACTGTTCGTTAGTTTACCTCTAGTATCGTATACACGAATATACTTCATGCCCATTCCTGCAGCAAGGACTTTGGGCTCGTTTGTAAACCAGGCACATGAGGAAATAACTTCGCTTGAACCGTACTGACACAGTGGCCTGACATCCGTCGATTGATCAAAGCTATTAATTGACAGGGAGGGTTCTGAAAATTAGCGTTACTTGTTCAATGCGCACGACACTAAGAAGTAGTCAAGAGCCCACTGTTACTTCTATTTACCTAGAGGCATTTAATGCTCTGGCGGTACCAGTGTCAGCGAGGGAGAGTGGGTTCATCGACAATCTTGTGTCTATAACATTCAATCGCTAGGGAGTTAGAAATCACATTGCGATCACTTCCCACATAACACATCTTGCTTGGCACGGTTCAGTTCAGCACAAAACGTACCAAAATAGCTCTCTGATGGTTCACTGTTGCGTCCGAACCGAGATGTTTGTAGACTTCCTGTGGTGGAGCGGTTGGTCATGGAGATGGATCCTGAAGGTGCATAGCTGGACTCGGATCCTCGCGACATGTTCATGGACTGCTCAATATCCCAGACCATCAAACAGTAGTCGTTGCGAACCTTATCGAGACCAACTGCTAGCAGATTCGGCGATTCCTTTGAGAATGCAACAACATTGCACGCGCGTGAATGTCGAGCGCTGAAGGAGGGATATGTGCGCTGGTTCTGCGCGATTGAGACTTGGCGAGGGGTATCCGGCCGAAAATCATTCCCCTTGTCCTCGAATATCCAGGGCTCTGACCTGTGCATACGGATGAGCAGCGTTCTTCCGGTTGTCAATCCTACAGCAGTGAGATCCATGTAATTTGGGTCTGGCGACCAAGTGAAGCACTACATACACACTATTAGATTTCCATTGTCGTGCAAGCAGCGCAGTGACTTGGAACATTGAAGGAAGTCGCAAGTGCATCTCTCTACCTTCATAAGTGCCACATCGGTGTTAACAGCAATAGGTGTAGCGTGAGGTTTTCCGTCCGCATCCTAGTGAGATAAAGTATAAAATATGATGCAGTTGAGTTCTCTCGTAAGTTGTGCGTTCTGTCAAGCAAGCATGGCGTTGTCTTGTCATTGGCTGGACATATTCAGATTGTTGTGCTATACCTCTGGGGTCCACTTGAAGAGGCGCAATTCTGTGGAGCCGATGAGAAACTGGTTGTGGTTTGGATGAGGCGACCATAGCAGACGATGGGGCCTGGCTGTCGTCATTTCGAGATGACCCGATCACGGTTACGCGGTAAGAGGTTGAGGAAGATGTGTGTGTGAAGAAAAGGTGTGGGTTTGAATTCACAAAAGAGCCCCATTGCTTGCTGAAGGACTGCTTTCTGTTTGAATACACCTTTCACACTACGCCTGATTTAAATGCTTTAAACAATGACTATTATTTGCCTGGCGAGTCACTTCAAGCAGTTGCTTGGAGCTATCATCCTTCCTGTTCGCGACTGAGCACGCGTTAACAAACTCAAAGGTTCAATGCTGGAGTGGCACCTGGCTTGAGATTCCTTGTAACTTGAAAACGTCTTGAGTTACCGGTTACACCCAAAAAAAAAAAAAAAAAAAAAAAAAAAAAAAAAAGTTTGGACAGCAGCATTCTTAAGAGGTCAAGAAGCTTTTTGAACAGTCATCCGTCAGGTGCTAACGAGAGAATCTTCTTTAAGTTTCCTCTGAAGAATCTCACGGATTCGAACGTAGACGCCAAGTTGGTTGTTCTCCTTCAGAAAAGTGAGAATTGAACAATCCCTCAAAAATTCTGAGGTGAATGGTCAAGGCCATCTTTTCAATTAAAAAAAACAATACCTCTAGCAACTCTTGGGTGACTGTACGAGAAAGATCTCGAGGCTTTTCAGAAGGCTGTCGCGTTGTGAGAGAATCAATGACATGCAGAGGGATTACTCTAGGCGTCTTGCGACCCTTTTTGGGCAACCCCATAGTGACAGCTCTCTTCTCGATCGATTCTTCATTATTCTCTTGAGCTACATGCGTTGACATTTATCCCTGTCAAACGCAGGTACAGTAGACTCCCTATGCTATACCGCAATTTCTCTTCCCTTTCTCCCCCCCCGAGGCAGCTAACATATTCCACATCTCACCAGCGAATGCGTCCGTCTTTCTTTATCTTGGCCACACCGCTACTTTCCTCCTGGCTCACTGTAGCTAAGATTAAAATTGTTATTGTTAGACCCTACAGTGCCAGTTTTAATACTCAATGACTACAAGAGAACGGTGTCCTACACCTTAAGAGTAGACGCTAGAAACAGGATAACTTAAACTGGAAAAGGTCTCCTCCCTGGATTATGTGCATATCAAAATAGAAGAAAATTCAAAGAGTGTGCGTTGAATGAGGTTTTGTCCTCCTGTGTATGTATTTGTTATAATTAGGATTGTTTTGGTGCATGAAGGTCTGCATACCAGTGGCATAACCAACTACGAACGCGGTATTGGCCAATACGCCTAACAAACTTGTTGCTCCAGGTTGGTATGGCGCGCAATATTGATAACCATTCTCGTCAGAGCTACGCATGCGCAGATGCGAGTGATAGCGATTCACAAGAGAGCACAAAAGAATAGAAGTATTTGGTACGTATTGTTGAACCGATGGTGTTAGAAGGATATCCTGGTTGGAAGTAGGTAGAGGTAATATGTGAACTGAGAAAAACGACCGCAGTACTCGTTGCATTTACACTCGAGGTGAGAAGGATCGTAGGAAAGTGAATTCGAAGGAGTAGGAAGGAGGCAGAAGGAGAACGAAAAAAGCAAAGAGGGGAAGAGTAAAGAAGAAAGTAAGAAATCAAGGGACGCCAAAACTAGATCAAATGGAAGGTGAGCACATTCAGGGTGCCTAGATCAAATGGAAGGTGAGCACATTCAGGGTGCCTAGAACAACTAGAGATGGAAAAATCAGGGACGGTAAAGAATGGGGAAAGACAATGCCCTGAAACAACTCGACTTGTCTGTCGGAAGGAGTGCAGCGAAAAAATAGGAAAAAAAAACAAGCAGAACGAAAATTCAGGGTCTTCCAGAATCACATAAAAATAAGGAAACTGGCGAATGGTGTCAAAAAGAGGAAAGTTTGGTCAAGGGGACAAAGAAAAGAATGGACCCTTGATCCACAACATGCATGAACAAAAAAGGGATCCTATCGCCCCCAATCAGCCCAGTCTTTGGAGGGATGGTTCAAATGCTTAACTGCTACTAGTAGGTATGCCCTTAAATCCTTTTTTTTTTCTATGCGACGGGTTTCCTTTTTTTTTGTTGAACCCCTCACGGTATTTTTCTCTCTCTATTACCAATGCCAATCGAAAAAAAATCTGAGGCAAGAACAGGAGGAAAGAGGTGAAAGGAAGGATATAAAAAGAAGGAAATACATGAAGGGGCAAGCAGAACAGGAAATGAAAGAAGCATAAAAAACAAGGGCAGGAAAGACGAAGGCAGGGGAGATGAGGGTGACGACGAGCTACTGCAAGGGGATCTCGATGATCCGGTTATATTGTCTTGGAAGTAGCGAGTGGACACATCCTGTCCCTGCTCTCTTTTTCTTGACCCTTTTAATCGCCCATTTTCATGGGAGTGTTAATTTCTCTTGAGTGGACCGACAACAACCGCTCACTTTATCATGCTATGAAACTGCTTTCTGTGTAACCCTTCTATTCGCACTTCATTCTGTGCAACCCTCGGGGATTTTTACCACTCCACCTGCCAGACTTTTTTGGCCAGCACTAATATAGAACTTTGGCCAGCCTCCTTGGTTTTGGCTATCTACTGTTTGAAGACAAGAAGGCGCGTAGGCTTCATGAGACGGACTGGCAACCAGCAAAGTTTGTGTTAAAAACGTAAGAAAATGCGGAAGCTAGAATGGAAAAAGATAAAATGACATTGAATGTCAGAATAACTAATCTGACATGTATTCTTAAAATGAGAAAAGCTATTCTGACATGCTATCAATGTCAGATTATCTGGATATTCTAACGTGCAAAGCTCACATAACACCCTTTCCATACAGCGTTCGGCTATAATAAAGTGGGCCCGGACGTTGTTTTAAGTACTGGCTCCAAATGAGGACAAGAGAGTTATCCTGGGCTTTTTGATTTGTGCGAATTTCTTTGCTGTTCATAGAGAACACCTTTTGAGGTCAAGGCTTAAGGTTGATTCAAAGAAGAATGACTTTAAAAAATACTTTTGTATCGCGTTTTTTTCTTTTGTTTACTACGTTTAAAGTGAAACTAATCTGACTGTACAAAAAGATACTCTGACATGCGTCCAAAATATTGGTGTCGGAATATCCTCTTCCCTGCACGGCACCCAAAAAACAAGTCAAGGTATCCACCCAAAACATCAAAAAGTAACGTCGACTGCAGGATTTGAACCTGCGCGGGAGAACCCATTTGATTTCAAGTCAAACGCCTTAACCACTCGGCCAAATCGACTTTTTAGTGTTAAAACCCAGGAAGACAAGTATTCTTTCACTATGGCTGCTTTGTCTCGAAGTAGCCCATCACATGATCATTTGCCACCAATTTTTTTTATCTTTTTTTTTTTTTTTTTCTTTCCTCCCAAGAGTATGATTTCAGCAAGCCTCGGAGCTGATTTGGAAACCGCGGTGCTCTGCAACAATTGCATGGGAGCAGACACAAGGCATATCTGACACGGCTAAAACAACCAAGTACACTAGCCCTAGAGGTGATTGGACTCAAGGTTACGGTTACATCACTCGCGACGGTTATTGTCCGTGTGGCGCTTCGCTAGCCACACATGTGGGAGGTGCCTGTCCGGGCGCGTCCCTAGATCCCCGCGC